TACATCGACTTTCACAACCACAAAACCATAGAGTTCACCAACCAGGAATATTTACATTTTAGTCATTTAGCAGACGCTCTTATCCAGAGCGACTTACAGTTAGTGAGTGCTGGGCCCCCGTGGGAAACGAACCCATAACCCTAGCGTTGCAAGCAACATGCTCTACCAACTGAGATACAGGGGAATATACATGAACTATGCTACCAATTTGCATCCGATGTGGACAGTGCCGGGACAGTATTGATCATGGGTTTGTAAATTAGACCTGCCGTCCTACAATACTCAATGACTTCCACCACTTTAAACACACAACACCACTCTCAGAGGAAGTGAATAATGTAACCGGGTAATATTACTTGTATGTTGGTGTTGCCTGCCCAGTTGGACTCCGTTAGGATGGGATGGAACCGTGAAAAAAAGGTGTGTTGTCCAAGTCACTCTCTTTCTCAGTCCAGGAAAGTAAAGTCTTCGAGCTCTTCCGTGCAGTGAGTTCTTCCGCTGATCTCAGCCTGGATGGATTGCGTAGTCAGTCAGTCTCGAATGCGAAGAGTTAGGTCATTCGTTCCACATGGCGTGGCCGCATCGCGAAGAAACTTGATCTGCCATCTGTTAGCAAGTCCTGTAATTTATAGTGTTACTCGCAGAGGGTGAACAGGGTGTCACTCCGTTGATTCTGCGAGTTCAGCACAGTTCTGCTCAGTGAGATAAATCGGAGATTTCCTCCTAAGTGTCCACAGTATGTTTCTAATGTACAGAAAACAGTTCAACAGTCCCTACGATGAAATACATAGCCTGTGGGTTCTAAACATGCCTTGGGTGAAATACATACATTCCATTTGACAGCAAATGCACATTATGCCCCCTTTAATGACATAGAAAAAGACGACAAATATCACAGTATGCATCAGGTTATACCAACACCGAGTGCTTCGTTTTGATGCATTGTTCAGAAACGTGTTCAAATGTCAGCGGCACTCTTGGCACTACTTTCCTTTGTTACATCATAGCTCGACTCCCCCTTTTTTTTTTCTTGGAATCCACATTCCTGGCGCCCAATAGTCTGGCGGGAAAATTCCCAGTAACACGTGAGTCGTAAAAGATGGTCGGCAGATCGCCAGAGGGTGTCTGTCTTTTTGTATCCTTGACCTCCCCAGGGAGGGAAATCTCCAATCTTTGTCTGGAGGGTGTGTGACCCTCCACTCGTATAGGCCTATATTGCAGCAATTACCAACAACCGTAGGCCAACAAATGACAGCAATAGGCTAATGCTATTTATTTTACAACAGACCTACTTATAACCTATCTTAAACTAAATACAGAGCACAAAAGACAGTTCAAACTTCATTTGGCCAACAAAAATGTCTCAACAAAATGAAACAAAACACTTTTTGCATATTTAAAGAACTGGTTTAGATTCTTAAATAGGCCTACAATAATAATAGGAATGATATACAATAATAATAATAATAATAATAAAACAAATGATAAATATGAAAATAAATGAATAAAAGTTAGAAATTTGCATCAGACCTGAATAGCGAGTTGCACACGGTCCATTTGGCCAACGCCAACGTTCTTGTCATCTTTGTCCACTGCAGTATTAAAACGTGTCCCTTGTCGGCTTCTTTTCACCATACTCTGTCTCCTCCAACTTTCATTTTACGTCAATGAAAAAGGCCTCCATCTTTGCAATCAACAGTAGCCAAGGCTCCTTTCACTCGCTCTCTCCTCAGCAGCAGGCGCGGGTGAGGAGAGCAGCTGGAACCAGTGTTGACTGGGCGTAAGCTATACGTTTTATTGAGTTGCAATTGGCTGACCCATAACAAGCTCTCATCATGTCACACACATTCAATTAACAGAGGACAGGTCCAGTCGATAAATACATTTTAATTGCACATACCCGAGACCCGTGGCAATTTATATCAGACCTGACCCAGCTCCTAGACAAAAGTATTTATGACCCGGGATTTGAGTCTGATGGACCCGTGAAGACCTCCTAACCTACAGTATTCACCCAAATACAGATCTGGAGTCTGTTCATAAACAAGTGTCAGCTTAGAGATATTTACTGTCTTCACCCAAGTACAGGTCTGGGTACAGCTCATAAATAATGTCAGTTACCTAGTATCTACTGTCATCACCCAAATAAAGGTCTAGTCTGTTCATAAACAAGTGTCAGCTTAGAGCTCTCTACTGTCTTCACCCAAGTACACGTCTGGGTACAGCGCATAAATAATGTGTCAGTTACCTAGCATCTACTGCCATCACCTAAATACAGGTCTGGGAACAGCTCATAAACAAGTTGTCAGCTACCTAGTATCCACATGTTTTCACCCAAATACAGGTCTGAGGTCAGGACCTAAACATGTTTATACTGTTGCTATTCTAACTGGTTGAATCCATAAACATGTTTTTTTTTTTTTTTTTTTTTTTTTTTTTTTTTTTATAAATCTGAGAATAGCCCCTAGCTGCCTACCTCTGTCTCAGCCTTGGGAAATGTACTTATAGGCTCATTTCAAAACCTGTGCTGCCTGTTTGTGTTATGGTGGTGACTCTCTCACTAAGAACTTTAAGACGGCAAGCTACAGCAGCTACAGCAGGACTAAAGCAGTAAGAGCAGGGTTCAGAGGAGTCCCGACTACACCGTAAATAACGTTTGATGCTGACTAAGAGCTGGTGTATACCGGAGGTAGCCTACTGGAAGACGGTAATGTTTTAATGCTTTTTTTTTTTTGAATTACTGCTTGCTTGGTAGGTATAGGTTTTGCTTGGTTTATATGTTCTGCTTGGTTTATATGTTCTGCTTGGTTTATATATTCTGCTTGGTTTATATATTCTGCTTGGTTTATATATTCCGCTTGGTAGGAATAGATTGTGATTGGTGGTTATGCTATGCAATTTGTTGTAAACTACATCTTAGATGTTAAGCTAGACACCGGAAAGGGGATACCTAGTCAGTTGCACAACTGAAGGCATTTAACCAAACCCCTCTGCGGGGAGCTGCCTTGATCAACATCCACGGCAGTTGTTGTGTGGGTTAACCGCTTTGCTCAAGGGCAGAACGGCAGATTTTTTTCCACCTTACCAGCTCGGGGATTCGAACAAGCAACCTTTCGGTTACTGTCCCAACGCTCTAACCGCTAGGCTACCTATTGTTCTGCTAACTGGGAGACTGTGTAGTGGGATCAGCAGAAGGCGGTAGCTAGTGTTGGCTGCTAACTGGGAGACTGTGTAGTGGGATCAGCAGAAAGCGGTAGCTAGTGTTGGCTGCTAACTGGGAGACTGTGTAGTGGGATCAGCAGAAGGCGGTAGCTAGCGTTGGCTGCTAACTGGGAGACTGTGTAGTGGGATCAGCAGAAGGCGGTAGCTAGCGTTGGCTGCTAACTGGGAGACTGTGTAGTGGGATCAGCAGAAGGCGGTAGCTAGTGTTGGCTGCTAACTGGGAGACTGTGTAGTGGGATCAGCAGAAGGCGGTAGCTAGCGTTGGCTGCTAACTGGGAGACTGTGTAGTGGGATCAGCAGAAGGCGGTAGCTAGCGTTGGCTGCTAACTGGGAGACTGTGTAGTGGGATCAGCAGAAGGCGGTAGCTAGCGTTGGCTGCTAACTGGGAGACTGTGTAGTGGGATCAGCAGAAGGCGGTAGCTAGCGTTGGCTGCTAACTGGGAGACTGTGTAGTGGGATCAGCAGAAGGCGGTAGCTAGCGTTGGCTGCTAACTGGGAGACTGTGTAGTGGGATCAGCAGAAGGCGGTAGCTAGCGTTGGCTGCTAACTGGGAGACTGTGTAGTGGGATCAGCAGAAGGCGGTAGCTAGTGTTGGCTGCTAACTGGGAGGTGCTGATATAGGATCAGTTTAGCCTTTTATATCATAATGAATAAGATGATATGGAAACTGATCCTAGATCATCATCCTGCTCCAAGGCTCTTTACGAATACTGGCCCAGATCAGCTGCCATCTTATCTGGATGGAAACCCAGCAGAGGAAAAGCAGTGAAATGTGATCGGACCTTAAAGCAGCTGTCAGCAGGGGCCTTGTTGTGGTGGAGAAAAGGTGTTCATATGCTTCTCCTGACGCTGAACACATAGCTCACATCTCGTTCCACCACACACTAGTCTTTTTATAGCCCCAGTGCTGATCGTGTCCAGCTAACAGGGATGATTTGATTCTTTGAAGTGCAGACGATAATAATATGATTTCCTATTGTGGCTGGCTATCAGAGCTGTCCTCTGCTTACGTTGACGCATGCATGCATGCACACACACACACACACACACACACACAAACCAGGGTTGGGCGGTATCAAGATTTTCATGGCTTCATACCGTTCCTGTACCATACCGTGGTATACTGTATTACCGGCAGTGCACACACAGGACGCTATTTCCAAAAATATATATTCATAATAATTTAGGCACAAAACAAATTAAGACAGCAGGGATCTTGATCCAGAAGGGGATTGATTGTCTCTGCTGTAACCAAGAAGCTTGATCTTGCAAGTTAGCAAACCAAATGCATAGCTGGAGCAACTTACAGCTATAGCAGTGGTGTAGAACCCCCCCCCCCCCCCCCCCACAGTTCGTTGGTCGGTCGGTGTTGGGGGGGGATATCTAGCCTAATCATGACCTCTAACCTCTCTGTTTTTGTTTTGTTTGTTCGTCAGATGAGGGAAGGGTGTAGACGGGACTGTCTCAGCTCCGAGCCATGGAATGCCCTCTCTGTCCGCCACTAGCCTGCTCTTCTTCACAGACTGACCTCCAGACGCTAAGTTAGCGGCACGCTTCTCCCCTCGAACTTAACACAACCAGGAAGGGACGAAGTCACAGCAGAGCAGAGCTACGCTTGGTACGCACAGAGGAAAGGATTAACAGCGCCTCTCCAATATATTAACAGCTAGCTCCATTCATCTTAGTTAGTTAGGTTTAGTTAGTTAGGGTTAGTTAGTTAGGGTTAGTTTTTCCTTTTTTTCTCTGTGGATTTGTGATTTTTTTTATCGAGAGTCAAGATGGTGGATTTACAAGATTACCTGTGGATGGTGATCCTCGGCTTTGTCATAGCCTTCATCCTGGCCTTCTCTGTGGGGGCCAACGACGTGGCCAACTCGTTCGGGACGGCGGTGGGGTCGGGGGTGGTGACCCTGAGGCAGGCCTGTATCCTGGCGTCCATCTTTGAGACGTTGGGTTCCATGCTGCTTGGAGCCAAGGTGGGGGAGACCATACGGAAGGGCATCATAGACGTCAACCTATACAACGAGACTGTGCCCGTACTTATGGCAGGGGAGGTCAGCGCCATGGTCGGTACGTATATACCGTCGTCTTCAAGTATCGGCCGTGTCTTATAATGTTACTAGATGTCAAATTCTTGCTTCCGCCGTCTGTGTTTCCTGAATTCCTCACTAAGTGCAGGTCTGAGGGAGGGACCGTGGATCCTCTCCTCCAATGAGCTTTTGAGAGAAATTGAGGCAACAAGGACGTAGGAAGCAAGGATTTGACGGCTAGTGACCAATGTTTTCAGTCATAGCCTGTGATTTTAATTCTCATGGAAGGTCCATTTTTCATAGCTTGTACGACCTCTCTCTCTCTCTCTTTTCACAGGTTCAGCGATTTGGCAGCTCATCGCCTCGTTCCTCAAACTACCCATCTCCGGGACGCATTGCATCGTGGGATCGACCATCGGGTTCTCCATGGTGGCCATTGGCACCAAGGGTGTCCAGTGGATGCAGCTGGTCAAGATTGGTATGTCAATGAATACGTCACCCAGCATGTTCTGAAGTAGGGTTTACTATCTAGGACTACATTAACCAGCCTGAAGCTGGTCAAGATTGGTCATTGTTTGTTTATAAGGATCTCTTTTAGCCCTCCAAGGGCTAGTCTTCCCATGTCTGAGTAGGGCTGGGCGGTATACTGTATTATAAACTGGGTGGTTCGAGCCTTGAATGCTGATTGGCTGACAGCTGTGGTATATCATACCGTATACTACGGGTATGACAAAATATTTTATTTTTACTGCTCTAATTACATTGGTAACCAGTTTACAATAGCAATAAAGGCACCTCGGGGGTTTGTGGTATATGGCCAATATACTCTGCGTTGTGTCGCGCCTAAGAACAGACTGGAAATTGAGCTCAGGTGCATCCTGTTTCCATCGATCATCCTTGAGATGTTTCTACAACTTGATTGGAGTCCACCTGTGGTAAATTCAATTGATTGGACATGATTTGGAAAGGCACATACCTGTCTATATAAGGTCCCACAGTGCATGTCAGAGCAAAAACCAAGCCATGAGGTCGAAGGAATTGTCCGTAGAGCTCCGAGACAGGATTGTGTCGAGGCACAGATCTGGGGAAGGGTACCAAAACATTTCTGCAGCATCGAAGGTCCCCAAGAACACAGTGGCCTCCATCATTCTTAAATGGAAGAAGTTTGGAACCACCAAGACTCTTCCTAGAGCTGGCCGCCCGACCAAACTAAGCAATCGTGGGAGAAGGGCCTTTGTCAGGGAGATGACCAAGAACCCGACGGTCACTCTGACAGAGCTCCAGAGTTCCTCTGAGGAGGTGGGACAACCATCTCTGCAGCACTCCACCAATCAGGCCTTTATGGTAGGTTGGCCAGACGGAAGCCACTACTCAGTAAAAAGCACATGACAGCCCGCTTGGAGTTTGCCAAAAGGCACCTAAAGACTCTCAGACCATGAGAAACAAGATTCTGTGGTTTATTGAGACCATGCTGTGGGGATGTTTTTCAGCGGCAGGGACTGGGAGACTAGTCAGGATCGAGGGAAAGATGAACGGAGCAAAGTACAGAGATCCTTGATGAAAACCTGCTCCAGAGCACTCAGGACCTCAGACTGGGGCGAAGGTTCACCTTCCAACAGGACAACGACCCTAAGCATACAGCCAAGACAAAGCAGGAGTGGCTTCGGGACAAGTCTCTGAATGTCCTTGGGTGGCCCAGCCAGAGCCGGGCTTGAACCCGATCAAATATCTCTGGAGAGACCTGAAAATAGCTGTGCAACGACGCTCCCCATCCAACCTGACAGAGCTTGAGAGGATCTGCAGAGAAGAATGGGAGAAACTCCCCAAATACAGGTGTGCCGCGCTTGTAGAGTCATACCCAAGAAGACTCGAGGCTGTAATCGCTGCCAAAGGTGCTTCAACAAATTGCTGAGTAAAGGGTTTAAATACTTATGTAAATGTGATATTTCCAGGGTTTTTAAAATACATTTGCAAACATTTCTAAAAACCTGTTTTTGCTTTGTCATTATGGGGTATTATGTATAGATTGATGAGGAGAAAAAACTAGTCAAATGGCAATTGCAATATTTGGTTAAAAATAAGAGCTAATTGGCCCATACCGTGCAGCCCTACGTGGCAGTGTGGAAATGATCTCAAATGAGATCAACTTTTGGTTGAAGTTTGATTGAACAGTATGAAACAATCAGAATGGAGAAAGACCCACTAAAATAATTTAGAATGTTGCCACCCTAGGGTCATGCACAAATCATTTTAGAACCTTTATTATTCAAAAACATAAAATATCGTCAGAAATGTGAAAAATATTGTGATATTATACTTTGGCCATATCAACCAGCCCTATGACTGAGTCTTAATATGGAACCTATGTAAGGTTGACTGTTTATGACTACATTACCCAGCGTGCTCTGGGATAGGGTTGACTGTCTATGACTTCATTGCCCAGCCTTCTCTGTCTGCGGTCTAATCCCAAATGAGTAGTTATTCAGGATATAAAAGGTGATTTGTACATCTTTCAGTCTGCTCAAGTTTGTGATCATTGACTGGCCTATCACTACATTACCCAGCCTGCCCCTCTCTTCCTCCCTCCAGTTGCATCCTGGTTCATCTCTCCCCTGCTGTCAGGACTGATGTCAGGGTTCCTCTTCTTCCTCATCAGACACTTCATCCTCAGTAAGGTGGGTTACCAGTAATCACATTATACACTACTAGCAGGTGTGTGTGTGTGTGTGTGTGTGTGTAGTACTGATCTGTTTGTGTGTGTGTGTGTGTGTGTGCGTGTCTGTGCTGACCTGTTTGTGTGTAGCACTGATCTGTGTGTGTGTGTTTTCAGGATGACCCGGTCCCCAACGGCCTCCGAGCCCTGCCAGTGTTCTACGCCTCAACGATAGGCATCAACGCCTTCTCCATCCTCTACACTGGCGCTCCATGTAAGCACTGGGACTTAACCTAACCCTAACACTGGTGCTCCATGTAAGCACTGGGACTTAACCTAACCCTAACACTTTACACTGGCGCTCCATGTAAACACTGGGACTTAACCTAACCCTAACACTTTACACTGGCGCTCCATGTAAACACTGGGACTTAACCTAACCCTAACACTGGCGCTCTATGTAAACACTGGGACTTAACCTAACCCTAACACTGGTGCTCCATGTAAGCACTGGGACTTAACCTAACCCTAACACTTTACACTGGCGCTCCATGTAAACACTGGGACTTAACCTAACCCTAACACTGGCGCTCTATGTAAACACTGGGACTTAACCTAACCCTAACACTGGCGCTCTATGTAAACACTGGGACTTAACCTAACCCTAACACTGGCGCTCTATGTAAACACTGGGACTTAACCTAACCCTAACACTGGCGCTCTATGTAAACACTGGGACTTAACCTAACCCTAACACTGGCGCTCTATGTAAACACTGGGACTTAACCTAACCCTAACACTGGCGCTCTATGTAAACACTGGGACTTAACCTAACCCTAACACTGGCGCTCTATGTAAACACTGGGACTTAACCTAACCCTAACACTGGCGCTCTATGTAAACACTGGGACTTAACCTAACCCTAACACTTTACACTGGCGCTCTATGTAAACACTGGGACTTAACCTAACCCTAACACTTTACACTGGCGCTCCATGTAAACACTGGGACTTAACCTAACCCTAACACTTTACACTGGCGCTCCATGTAAGCACTGGGACTTAACCTAACCCTAACACTGGCGCTCTATGTAAACACTGGGACTTAACCTAACCCTAGCCCTAACACTTTACACTGGCGCTCCATGTAAGCACTTCACCACTTTTTACCCACATCTTTATTTCTAGCACCATACCAGTGTCTACATATGTGAAAACTGTGATTTATTTCAATTGTGTGCTGGGCTAACCACTCTGTATCAACGTGTGTGTGTCTGTCTGTCAGTGCTAGGTCTGGAGATGTTACCGGTGTGGGCTATAGCTCTGATCACGCTGGCAGGGGCTCTGATCTGTGCTGCCGTGGTCTGGTTCGCCGTCTGCCCCTGGATGAGACGGAAGATAAAAAGTAGGTCTCTCTCTCTCTCTCTCTCTCTCTCTCTGTCTCTCTCAATTCAATTTCAATTCAATTTCAATTTAAGGGCTTTATTGGCATGGGAAACGTGTGTTAACATTGCCAAAGCAAGTGAAGTAGATAGCAAACAAAAGTGAAATAAACAATAAATATTAACAGTAAACATTACACTCAGAAGTTTCAAAAGAATGTCTGTCTCTCTCTGTCTCTGTCTGTCTCTCTGTCTCTGTGTCTCTCTCTCTCTGTCTGTCTCTCTGTCTCTGTCTGTCTGTCTGTCTCTCTGTCTGTCTGTGTCTCTTTCTCTGTCTCTTTGTCTCTTTGTCTCTCTCTGTCTCTCTCTCTCTCTCTCTGTCTGTGTCTCTTTCTCTCTCTGTCTGTGTCTATTTCTCTCTCTTGTCTGGTCTCTTTCTGGTATCTTTGTCTCTTTTCTCCTCTTTGTATCTCTATCTTCTCCTCTCTATCTCTCTCTCTCATCTCTATTTGTATGTCTCTTCTCTCGTCTGTCTCCTCTCTCTGTTCTTTGTCTCTCTCTCTCTCTCTCTATGTCTCTCTCTCTTTGTCTCTCTCTCTCTCTCTCTCTCTCTCTCTCTGGTCTGTCTCTCTCTCTATGTCTGGTCTCTCTTCTCTGGTCTCTCTTCTCTGTCTATGTCTCTCTCTCTCTGTTCTCTGTTGTCGGGTCTCTCTCTGTCTCGTCTGTCCTCCTGTCTCTGTGTATCTCTCTCTCTGTCTGTCTCTTCTGGGCTGCCTCTCTGTCATGTGTCTCTTTTCGTCGTGTGTCGCTCTCTGCTCTTCTCTCTTATCTATCTCTCTATGTATGTGTTCTTTCTCTCTCTTCTGTGGTCTCTTATCTGTCTCTTTGTCTCTTTCTATCTCTTTGTCTCTATCTCTCTCTCTCTATCTCTCTCGTTGTCGTCTCCGCTCTCTGTTTTTTTTTTTTTTCCTTTTGTTTTTTTCTCTCTCTGTATGTCTCTCTCCTTTGTCTGTCTCTCTCTCTCGGTCTCTCTGTCTGTCTGTTCTGTATGGCTGTCCTGTCTGTGTCTGTCTGTCTTGTTGTCTGTCGTATGTGTCTGTCTCTCTAGTCTCGGTTTGTCTATCTGTCTCGGGGTCTTCTCTCTCTCTGTCTGGCTCTTGTATGTATGTCTTTTCTCTGTCTCTTTGCTCTGTTCTCTATCTGTCTCTCTCTCTCTATCTCTCGTCTGTGTCTATTTCTGCTCTCTGTCTGTCTCTTTCTCTGTACTTTGTCTCTTTGCTCTCTTTTCTCTCCTCTCTCTGTCTCTATCTCCTTTGTCTGGCTCTACTCTTGTCGTCTATCTCTGTCTCGTGTCTCTCTCTGTCTCGTCTGTCGTCCTATGTCGTGTCTCTCTCTCTCTGTCTCTGTCGCTCTCTCTGTCGCTCTCTCTGTCTGTCTCTCTCTGTCTCTCTCTCGTTCTGTCTGTCTCTTTCTGTCTCTCTCTCTTTCTCTCTGTCTCTGTCTGTCTGTCTCTCTGTCTCTGTCTCTCTCTCTCTCTCTGTCTCTCTCTCTCTGTCTCTGTCGCTCTCTCTGTCGCTCTCTCTGTCTGTCTCTCTCTGTCTCTCTCTCGTTCTGTCTGTCTCTTTCTGTCTCTCTCTCTTTCTCTCTGTCTCTTTCTGTCTCTCTCTCTGTCGCTCTCTCTCTCTGTCTGTCTGTCTCTCTCTCTCTCTGTCTGTCTGTCTCTGTCTCTCTCTCTCTCTGTCTGTCTGTCTGTCTCTCTCTCTCTCTCAATTCAATTCAATTCAATTTAAGGGGTTTATTGGCAAGGGAAACGTGTGTTAACATTGCCAAAGCAAGGGAAGTAGATAGTAAACAAAAGTGAAATAAACAATAAATATTAACAGTAAACATTACACTCAGAAGTTTCAAAAGAATAAAGACATTTCTGTCTCTCTCTCTCTCTCTCTCTCTCTGTGTCTCTGTCTCTTTGTCTCTCTCTGTCTCTTTGTCTCTGTCTGTCTGTCTCTCTCTCTCTGTCTCTCTCTGTCTCTCTCTCTCGCTGTCTCTCTCTCTTGCTGTCTCTCTGTTTCTGTCGCTCTCTGTCTGTCGCTCTCTGTCTCTGTCTGTCTGTCTGTCTCTCTCTCTGTCGCTCTCTGTCTCTCTCTCTCTCTGTCGTTCTCTCTCTCTGCCTGTCTCTGTCTCTCTCTGTCTATGTGTCTCTGTCTGTCTCTGTCTCTTTCTCTCTGTCTCTCTCTCTGTCGTTCTCTCTCTCTGTCGCTCTCTGTCTGTCTCTGTCTCTGTCTCTTTGTCTCTGTCTCTTTTGTCTCTCTCTCTGTGTCTCTTCTGTCTCTCTCTCTGTGTCTCTCTCTGTGTCTCTCTCTGTGTCTCTCTCTGTGTCTCTCTCTGTGTCTCTCTCTGTGTCTCTCTCGCTGTCTGTCTCTGTCTCTGTCTCTGTCTCTGTCTCTGTCTCTGTCTCTTTCTCTTCTCTCTCTCTTTCTCTTTCTCTTTCTCTTCTCTTTCTCTCTCTCTCTCTCTCTCTCTCTCTCTCTCTCTCTCTCTCTCTCTCTCTCTCTCTCTCTGTGTCTCTGTGTCTCTGTGTCTCTGTGTCTCTGTGTCTCTGTGTCTCTCTGTGTCTCTGTCTCTCTGTCTCTCTGTCTCTCTGTCTCTCTGTCTCTCTGTCTCTCTGTCTCTGTTTCTCTTTGTCTGTCTCTCTCTCTGTCTCTCTGACAAATTAGTGTAATCAAGGTGACAGTGACACATTCAATACCGCCTTGCACACTCTTGCCTGCATCTACAGTTGAAGTCGGAAGTTTACATACACTTAGGTTGGAGTCATTAAAACTTGTTTTTCAACCACTCCACATATTTCTTGTTAACAAACTATAGTTTTGGCATGTGGTTAGGACATCTACTTTGTGCATGACACAAGTAATTTTTCCAACAATTGTTTACAGACAGATTATTTCACTTATAATTCACTGTATCACAATTCCAGTGGGTCAGAAGTTTACATACAAAAAGTTGACTGTGCCTTTAAACAGCTTGGAAAATTCCAGAAAATGATTTCATGGCTTTAGAAGCTTCTGGTAGGCTAATCGACATAATTTGAGTCAATTGGAGGTGTACCTGTGTGGATGTATTTCAAGGCCTACCTTCAAACTCAGTGCCTCTTTGCTTGACATCATGGGAAGATCAAAAGAAATCAGCCAAGACCTCAGAAAAAAAGTTGTGTACTGGTGTACTTCACAAAATAATGGCATCATGAGGAAGGAAAATTATGTGGATATATTGAAGCAACATCTCAAGACATCAGTCAGGAAGTTAAAGCTTGGTCGCAAATGGGTCTTCCAAATGGACATTGACCCCAAGCATACTTCCAAAGTTGTGGCAAAATGGCTTAAGGACAACAAAGTCAAGGTATTGGAATGGCAATCACAAAGCCCTGACCTCAATCCTATAGAACATTTGTGGGCAGAACAGAAAAAGCATGTGCGAGCAAGGAGGCCTACAAACCTGACTCCGTTACACCAGCTCTGTCAGGAGGAATGGGCCAAAATTCACCCAACTTTTTGTGGGAAGCTTGTGCAAGCCTACCTGAAACGTTTGACCCAAGTTAAACAATTTAAAAGCAATGCTACCAAATACTAATTGAGTGTATGTAAACTTCTGACCCACTGGGAATGTGATGAAATAAATAAAAGCTGAAATAAATCATTCTCTACTATTATTCTGACATTTCACATTCTTAAAATAAAGTGGTGCTCCTAACTGACCTAAGACAGGGAGTTTTTACTAGGATTAAATGTCAGGAATTGTGAAAAACTGAGTTTAAATGTATCTGGCTAAAGTGTATGTAAACTTCCGACTTCAACTGTAGCTGATCTGGGGGTGTAATCATCAGTCCAACAGCTGCAAAACGTTCTGTTTTGCAACTAAAACATGTTTCTATTGGAGAAATTCAGGTAGGTCCCTCTCCGTTTCGTTCCGTTTGCTTCCGTTTTAAGGAAACGTTTTGCAACAGAATTGGTGGAATGAATACACCCCCTGATCACCCACTCAGTCGGGCTTTCAAACCTACTCTTAAAAGTTGTAATTGTAGATTGCACATGGTGCAAATTCAACATTGGATAGTGCATCAGCAGTTTTCCCTTTCATGCCAGTCACTGCATACCTTAGATAACTATTTATAACTTGTCAGAATGGTCCAGATCAACTAGCCCATGTCAGCTAACGTTTTTTTTAGCCCGTTTTGATTATTCCCCAATGATGGCCCAAGTGAAAAAGTTTAGGAACCACTGCCCTTGAGGGTGGAGTTGAGGCTTTTGTAGGCCTTCATTGCAAAACCAATGTGTTTTAATCAGTTATTTGTGGCGTGAATATATTTAGTATAGTTTTATCTATAAAGGATAACTTTTTTTAATGTTTCACTATTTTTATTGTTATGCAATTTACTGAGCAGGATGGTCATCCCCAGTGGTGTAAAAATACTTTAAAGTACTGCTTAAGTAGTTTTTGTTGGGTATCTGCACTTTGCTTTTTGTATTTTTGACAACTTTTACTTCACTACATTCCTAAAGAAAATAATGTATTTTTTACTACATACATTTTCCCTGACACCCAAAAATACTAGTTACATTTTCAACCCTTAGCAGGACAGGAAGATGGTCCAATTCACGCACATATCAACAGAACATCCCTGGTCATCCCTACTGCCTCTGATCTGGCGGACTCACTAAACACACATGCTTTGTTTGTAAATGATGTCTGAGTGTTGGAGCGTGCCCCTGGCTATCTGTAAATAAATTTTAAAAAAAAACAAGAAAATGGTGCCGTTTGCTTAATATAAGGAATTTTAAATGATTTATACTTGTACTTTTGATACTATATTTAAAACCAAATAGTTTTAGACTTTTACTCAAGTAGTATTTTACTGGGTGACGTTGACTTGAGTCATTTTCTTTTAAGGTATCTTTTACTTTTACTCAAGTATGACAATTGAGTACTTTTTTTTTCTCCCCTACCACTGGTCCTCCCCTTCCTCCTCTGAGGAGCCTCCACTGCCTGGAAGTATTTTGAAAGCTGTGTGTGTCAGTTTCTCACGCCGCCTTCAAAGCCCTCTGGACTCCCAGACTGACTGAACCAGGACAGACAAAAGACCCTGCTACAGAGCCAGCTTGCCCCCCCGTCCCCCCCGTCCCCCCCGTCCCCCCCGTCCCCGTCCCCCCCCCGTCGCTGCCCCAGCCAGGCCTGCTCTTTCTGAAACCAAACAGCTTCTGCCAGCCGACGTGTGTACTTTCATCACCGCTTGCCAAAGGAAACGTTTTAAACCCACCCTGAACCCCAGCTAGCTAGAAAGAGTAAGCTATTTAAAGGTTCTGGTTGGTTCGGGAAATTCAGGTACAATTATGGAATTGGGTCTGTTTTTTGGTGGTAAGGTTAGGATTTTTGTTTGGTTAAGGTTTTGTTTGGTTAAGGTTTTGTTTGGTTAAGGTTTTGTTTGGTTAAGGTTTTGTTTGATTAGGGTTTTGTTTGGTTAAGGTTTTATTTGATTAGGGTTTTGTTTGGTTAAGGTTTTGTTTGATTAGGGTTTTGTTTGATTAGGGTTTTGTTTGGTTAAGGTTTTGTTTGGTTAAGGTTTTGTTTGGTTAAGGTTTTGTTTGGTTAAGGTTTTGTTTGGTTAAGGTTTTGTTTGATTAGGGTTTTGTTTGATTAGGGTTTTGTTTGGTTAAGGTTTTGTTTGATTAGGGTTTTGTTTGGTTAAGGTTTTGTTTGATTAGGGTTTTGTTTGGTTAGGGTTTTGTTTGGTTAAGGTTTTGTTTGGTTAAGGTTAGGACCTGTGTGACTCAGTTGGTAGAGCATGGCACTTGCAACGCCAGGATAGTGGGTTCAATTCCCACGGGGGACCAGTACGAAAATGTATGCAATCACTACTGGATAAGAGCGTCTGCTAAATGACTAAAATTGAAATGTAAAATGGTTAGGGTTGAGGGTTACTGAGGAGGGATAGCACTTTATATTTGATTCCTGGACATTTTGAATGGGCTTGGATGTTTTGAAAGAAAATAATTTTAATAAGCAAAAGTCAAAGGATCCTCTTCATAGACATAATATAAAGTTTGGTTTCTGCTCAGGTTAGGTTGCTATTTATTTGGCCTGTGTCCGAAGGGTAAGGTAAGCCACCAGTTTGAAATCTGTAATCCTTGGGTAAGCTCCATGAAGCTCCATTATGAGCCTAATACCACGGTCCAGTGGGTATCAGGGAACTAGGTAGTACTGTGGTCTCTGTTTCAGACTGTATTCTTCCAGTGGGTATCAGGGAACTAGGTAGTACTGTGGTCTCTGTTTCAGACTGTATTCTTCCAGTGGGTATCAGGGAACTAGGTAGTACTGTGGTCTCTGTTTCAGACTGTATTCTTCCAGTGGGTATCAGGGACTAGTAGTACTGGTCTCTGTTTCAGACTGTATTCTTCCGTGGGTATCAGGGAACTAGGCTAGTACTGTGGTCTCTGGTTTCAGACTGTATTCTTCCAGTGGGTATCAGGGAACTAGGTAGTACTGTGGTCTCTGTTTCAGACTGTATTCTTCCAGTGGGTATCAGGGAACTAGCTAGTACTGTGGTCTCAGTTTCAGACTGTATTCTTAAACTTTGCCCACTAAACACGACCGTGGTCTGAGACAGCTCTCTAGGCTGGAGGGGTATCAGTGAAGCGGGCCTGTTAGTTCTAACCAGGGTGCTGTTCTTTAGAGGACACAAACGTTCTGCTACTGAAAAGGAAAACAAGTGTTTCGTATTGGACGAGTTCAGTTAGTACCTCCCTGTTTTTTGTTCCGTTTCAGACCGTTATCTTCAGTTTGATGCTTAATGAACACGACCGTGGCCTGTGAGCGAGATCTCCCTACAGTTCCACTGACAGTGGCAGTGACTCAGTACCTGAACGCCAGCTATATATTTATGTGACATTGAGTAGTGGGCGTGGCCCACCAGATGCCTTCCTCTTGGCCGCAGACACAAAATGTTGCAGTTTTAAAGCTAATTTCCTGCAATCCTACACCTTATGCCGTGTTCTTATGCTGTCTCAGTGACTCAAACATTATAACAAAATCAACAATGCCATGACGTCGTTTGGAATTTTACATTGTCTATTTTTTATTTTAGTGATTTGTTAGTTATCAAAGATGATCTTATTAAAAAATATATGGCTCCTTTATCTTTTCTACAAACTTTATATATCTGGTTATAGTTGTTTGAATTTACACAGAAAATGTTTTACCGTCCCACATTTTTTTTTCTCTCTAAACAATTGTATTTATTTATTGTTTTTTAAATTATATTTTTGGGAGTGCGACTGCGATTTAGCAGTGGGGGAAACGTGTGTGTGTGTGTGTGTGTGTGTGTGTGTGTGTGTGTGTGTGTGTGTGTAACGATGTTGTCCCTGTGTCCCCCGGTCAGGTCGCATAAAGAAGGAGCACGCTGCCCTGTCCCGTATCTCAGACGAGTCGTTAGATCAGATCCCCGAGGAAGAGGAGGAGCTTCCCGTGTTGAAGGAGCTACCGGGCGCCAAGGGGACGGACGACGCCGTGCTGCCGTTAACCGGTGGTACCGGGGGAGAGTCACGGAGAGGAGGAGAGTCCACCGGAGAGCTCAACAGCCTGGCCAATGGAGGCACCGTCCTGCCCAACGGACGGGTCTACGGTCAGTTGGCCCGCTGAGCTAAACGCCTAGGCATTAACTGCCGGGGAGCTAATACAAGTCTTCAGGTTTCAGATGTACGGTCAGTATAGAGACAGGAGAGGCTGAGCCACTGGGTTTTCACCCATGTCATTTGGGGGTCCATCACAATCTTAGCTACTCATCACACAAGAGTACTTTACCACCAAACCACCTCTGATTTTAGACCAGACCAGAGCAGTTCTGTAAAGCTCATTCCTCCTGCTACCCAGGCCAGACCCACTCCATGACCTCTGCTAAACCTAGATTTTATAGTGAAGTAGATTTAATATAGTGTGGTAGATTTAATATAGTATGGTAGTATTTCTTATTTATTCCTCTGCTCCCCAGACCAGACCTCCATACATATAGTATAATAGTATTAGTTTAGTATGTCTATGATACATTTACTGTAATATAGGATTAGTTAGTGTTGTAAAACTCACCCCCCTCCTCTCCTCCTCAGGGCGGACCCACTCCATGACCAACGGCACCCTGTCCATGTCCAAGTCCCCACTGTCCAATGGCAGCTTCACCTTCGGCGGGGAACACATGCGCAGCGACGGCCAGGTGTACCACACGGTCCACAAGGACTCCGGTCTCTACAAAGACCTGCTCCACAAGATCCACCTGGGACGGATGGAGGACGACCGCTCCGCCCCCACGCCAGACAACAACTACCGTCTGCTGCGCCGCAACAACAGCTACACCTGCTACACGGCTGCCATCTGTGGCATGCCGGTCCAGCCGCTGCTCCGCTCCGAGTCCCGGGAGGCCCGAGAGGACAGCGAGAAGCTGGTGGGTGAGGGGGAGAGGTCGGGGAGCGTGTCCTACACCAAGAAGAGGGTCCGTTACGATAGCTACTCGTCGTACTGTAACGCCGTGGCGGAGGCCGAGATCGAGGCGGAGGAGGGCGGCGTGGAGATGAAGCTGGCGTCTGACCTGGGGGGGGGCGAGGAGGCAGCGGCGCCAGGGGCTCCCGTCCCGCTGGATGACTCGGCGGAAGAGGACGAGGGGGAGAAGGACAAGCCGACCGTCTACCTGCTCTTCCACTTCCTGCAGATCCTCACCGCGTGCTTCGGATCCTTCGCTCACGGAGGCAACGACGTCAGGTGGGTGCCTTCCCCTGCTCCCCGTCTGACTAGGGATTAGACATTTAGGAAACTTTCTCAAAATTCACAAAGTTTTTTCCAGAATTTGTTTCTCCACAGCTGGATTGCTGTTGTTGGAATTTTGAGTTTCCTGAATTTTGCAACTCTACAGCTGACAAGACAGGTAGCTTAGTGGTTAAGAGCGTTGTGCCAGTAACCAAAAGGTCGCTGGTTCTAATCCCCGAGCCGACTAGGTGAAAAATCTGTCGATGTGCCCTGAGCAAGGCACTTAACCCTAATTGCTCCTGTAAGTCGCTCTGGATAAGAGCGTCTGCTAAATGACTAAAATGTCAAATGTAAATGTAAAGACGACCTCTCAACATTAACACCATTTCAGATTTTATGTTATTCACACATGTACAACCTTTACCAGCCCAACATTCGCCTTATAATCCACCAAACTAGTCTCAAACAGAAAGGAAACTACCTGAAAGTGATTTCCCTCTCCCACTGCAGTAACTTCCATTCATCATAACACAACTACCATGTCATATGTTATCCACAAAACTAGAAGTTATAGTGAGTTATTCAAAAAATCGAATCAAATCAAATTGTGTTGGTCGCACAAACATAATTAGTAGATGTTATTGCGGGTGTAGCGAAATGCTTGTGTTCCTAGCTCCAACAGTGCAGTTATATCTAATAAAACACACAAATCTAAAAGTAAAAGAATGGAATTAAGAAATCTAGAAATATTAGGACGAGCAATGTCGGATTCTGGAGTATTAATATATACACTACAAGACCAAAAGTACGTGGACACCTACTCGTCGAATGTCAAATTCCAAATCATGGGCATTAATATGGAGTTGGTCTCCCCTTTGCTGCTATAACAGCCTCCACTCTTCTGGGAAGGCTTTCCACTAGATGTTGGAACATTGCTGCGGGGACTTGCTTCCATTCAGCCACAAGAGCATTAGTGAGGTCGGGCACTGATGTTGGGCGATTAGGCCTGGCTCGCTCGCAGTCGGTGTTCCAATTCAACCCAAAGGTGTTCGATGGGGTTGAGGTCAGGGCTCTGTGCAGGCCAGTCAAGTTCTTCCATTCCGATCTCGACAAACCATTCCTGTATGGACCTCGCTTTGTGCACGGGGGCATTGTCATGCTGAAACACGAAAGGGCCTTCCCCAAACTGTTGCCACAATGTTGGAAGCACAGAATCATCTAAAATGTCATTGTATGCTGTAGCATTAAGATTTTCCTTCACTGGAACTAAGGGGCCTAGCTCGAACCTTAAAAAACAGCACCAGACCATTATTCCTCCTCCACCAAACTTTACAGTTGGCACTATTCATTGGGGCAGGTAGCGTTCTCCTGGCATCCGCCAAATCCAAATTCGTCCGTCGGACTGCCAGATGGTGAAGCGTGATTCTTCACTCCAGAGAACGCGTTTTCACTGCTCCAGAGTCCAATGGCGGCGAGCTTTACACCACTCCAGCCGACGCTTGGCACTCGGTAGTGAGTGTTGCAACCGAGGACAGACGATTTTTACGCGCTTCAGCACTCGGCGGTGTGGCCTACGACGTCGCGGCTGAGCCAATGTTGACGTTTCCACTTCACAATAACAGCACTTACAGTTGACCGGGGGGCAGCTCTTGCAGGGCAGAAATTTGACAAACTGACTTGTTGGAAAGGTGGCGTCCTATGACGGTGCCACGTTGAAAGTCACTGAGCTCTTCAGTAAGGCCATTCTACTGCCAATGTTTGTCTATGGAGATTGCATGACTGTGTGCTCAATTGTATAGATTGTTATAGCGTTATTCTAAAATTGATTAAATTGTATTTTTTCCTCATCAATACCTCAATGACGAAGCAAAAACAGGTTTTTAGACTTTCGCTAATTTATAAAAAAAAAAAAAAAAACGGAAATATCACATTTACATAAGTATTCAGACCCTTTACTCAATACTTGTTTAAGCACCTTTGGCAGCGATTACAGCCTCGGGTCTTCTTGGGTATGATGTTACAAGCTTGGCACACCTGTATTTGGGGATTTTCTCCCATTCTTCTCTGCAGATCCTCCCAAGCTCTGTCAGGTTGGATGGGGAGCGTTGCTGCACAGCTATTTTCAGGTCTCTCCACTGATGTTTGATCGGGTTCAAGTCCGGGCTCTGGCTGGGCCACTCAAGGACATTCAGAGACTTGTCCCGAAGCCACTCCTGCATGTCTTGGCTGTGTGCTTAGGGTCATTGTCCTGTTGGAAGGTGAACCTTCGCCCCAGTCTGAGGTCCTGAGCGCTCTGGAGCAGGTTTTCATCAAGGATCTCTCTGTACTTTGCTCAGTTCATCTTTCCCTCGATCCTGACCAGTCTCCCAGTCCCTGCCGCTGAAAAACATCCCCACAGCATGATGCTGCCACCACCATGCTTCACCGTAGAGATGGTGCTAGGTTTCCTCCAGACGTGACGCTTGTCATTCAGGCCAAAGAGTTCAATCTTGGTTTCATCAGACCAGAGAATCTTGTTTCTCATGGCCTGAGAGTCTTTAGGTGCCTTTTGGCAAACTCCATGCGGGCTGTCATGTGCCTTTTATTGAGGAGTGGCTTCCGTCTGGTCACTCTACCATAAAGGCCTGATTGGTGGAGTGCTGCAGAGATGGTTGTCCTTCTGGAAGGTTCTCCCATCTCCACAGAGGAACTCTAGAGCTCTGTCAGAGTGACCATTGGGTTCTTGGTCACCTCCCTGACACATGGGATGCTGACCTTCTAGGCGGAGTTGCAAAGAAAAAGCCATATCTCAGACTGCCCATCTTAATCTTTTATTTTTATTGGCCAGTCTGAGATATGGCTTTTTCTTTGCAACTCTGCCTAGAAGGTCAGCATCCCGGAGTCGCCTCTTCACTGTTGACGTTGAGGCTGGTGTTTTGCGGGTACTATTTAATGAAGCTGCCAGTTGAGGACCTGTGAGGCGTCTGTTTCTCAAACTCGACACTAATGTATTTGTCCTCTTGCTCAGTTGTGCACCGGGGCCTCCTACTCCTCTTTCTATTCTGGTTAGAGACAGTTTGCGCTGTTCTGTGAAGGGAGTAGTACACAGCGTTGTACGAGATCTTCAGTTTCTTGGCAATTAATCGCATGGAATAGCCTTCATTTTTCAGAACAAGAATAGACTGACGAGTTTCAGAAGAAAGTTATTTGTTTCTGGCCATTTTGAGCCTGTAATCGAACCCACAATTGCTGATGCTCCAGATACTCAACTAGTCTCAAGAAGGCCCGTTTTATTGCTTCTTTAATCAGCACAACAGTTTTCAGCTGTGCTAACATAATTGCAAAAAAGCTGATCTACCCCCTATAAAAAAAAATAACCTAATTGCAAAAGGGTTTTCTAATGATCAATTAGCCTTTTAAAATGATAAACTTGGATTAGCAAACACAACGTGCCATTGGAACACAGGACTGATGGTTGCTGATAATGGGCCTCTGTACGCCTATGTAGATATTCCATAAAAAAACAGCCATTTCCAACTACAATAGCCATTTACAACATTAACAATGTCTACACTGTATTTCTGATCAATTTGATGTTATTTTAATGGACAAAAAATTTGCTTTTCTTTCGAAAACAAGGACATTTCTAAGTGACCCCAAACTTTTTAACGGTAGTGTGTGTGTGTGTGTGTGTGTATGTATGTATGTATGTATGTATGTATGTATGTATGTATGTATATATATATATATACAGTGGGGGAAAAAAGTATTTAGTCAGCCACCAATTGTGCAAGTTCTCCCACTTAAAAAGATGAGAGGCCTGTAATTTTCATCATAGGTACACGTCAACTATGACAGACAAATTGAGAGAAAAAAAATCCAAAAAATCACATTGTAGGATTTTTAATGAATTTATTTGCAAATTATGGTGGAAAATAAGTATTTGGTCACCTACAAACAAGCAAGATTTCTGGCTCTCACAGACCTGTAACTTCTTCTTTAAGAGGCTCCTCTGTCCTCCACTCATTACCTGTATTAATGGCACCTGTTTGAACTTGTTATCAGTATAAAAGACACCTGTCCACAACCTCAAACAGTCACACTCCAAACTCCACTATGGCCAAGACCAAAGAGCTGTCAAAGGACACCAGAAACAAAATTGTAGACCTGCACCAGGCTGGGAAGACTGAATCTGCAATAGGTAAGCAGCTTGGTTTGAAGAAATCAACTGTGGGAGCAATTATTAGGAAATGGAAGACATACAAGACCACTGATAATCTCCCTCGATCTGGGGCTCCACGCAAGATCTCACCCCGTGGGGTCAAAATGATCTAAAGAATGGTGAGCAAAAATCCCAGAACCACACGGGGGGACCTAGTGAATGACCTGCAGAGAGCTGGGACCAAAGTAACAAAGCCTACCATCAGTAACACACTACGCCGCCAGGGACTCAAATCCTGCAGTGCCAGACGTGTCCCCCTGCTTAAGCCAGTACATGTCCAGGCCCGTCTGAAGTTTGCTAGAGTGCATTTGGATGATCCAGAAGAGGATTGGGAGAATGTTTACTTTTTGGTAAAAACTCAACTCGTTGTGTTTGGAGGACAAAGAATGCTGAGTTGCATCCAAAGAACACCATACCTACTGTGAAGCATGGGGGTGGAAACATCATGCTTTGGGGCTGTTTTTCTGCAAAGGGACCAGGACGACTGATCCGTTTGTTGGGGTTAAAGGAAAAA